TAATGCTGTAGCATTAGCGCAGCTAACCGTTTAGGAGATTCGGCCTCTGCTGGTGGGAATTGGACCAGAGGTCTAGAACATGAACCAGTTCAAATGTTTTCACCTGTTCATGTAAAACATGGAGTCTGCATGGTGACCATGTTCTGGTTTTCACGGTTCTGATGGGTTCTTCAGACCCGCGGGTCGGTTAGGAGTTTCTGCTCAGCATATCAATGACCTCACTGCTGACCGGTCTCCAGGGAAACCGCTCCAAATTCACCCAAACCGACTCTCAGTTGTTAATTTAGAAACTTCAACGATTTTCTGATCAGCGCCAGTCTCTTCCCTTGTTGGCCTGGCAACCCATGAAGAGGATTGAAAAGCGGGACATTTTCTGTCCTCTGGAGGGACAGACACAGAAAGGAGGCTGAAGGAGGGAGTCAAAGCTTCAAACTGTTTATCGGCTCCAGACGTTCAAACCGAAGCTGCTCAAAACACACCTGTTGAAATCAGGTAAAGTCTGATCAGCGTCCAGTCGATCTGCAGCAGCGGTGCGGTGCAGCGGTGCGGTGCAGCGGTGCAGCTGCAGCGGTGCGGTGCAGCGGTGCAGCTGCAGCGGTGCGCTGCAGCGGTGCAGGTGCAGCTGCAGCGGTGCGCTGCAGCTGCAGCGGTGCAGCTGCAGCGGTGCGGTGCAGCTGCACCGCACCGCTGCAGCGGTGCAGGTGCAGCTGCAGCGGTGCAGGTGCAGCTGCAGCGGTGCGCTGCAGCTGCAGCGGTGCAGCTGCAGCGGTGCAGGTGCAGCTGCAGCGGTGCGCTGCAGCGGTGCGGTGCAGCTGCAGCGGTGCGGTGCAGCTGCAGCGGTGCGGTGCAGCTGCAGCGGTGCGCTAACCAGACGTTCACTCAGCTCAGATGAGAGAAGAGACACATCGAAACTGCAGGCAGAATCACAGACGTTAAAGGGCCGGTATCATGTAAAATATACGTTTATGATCTTTCCATCATGTGATCATGTTTCCTCATCTAAATCACAGCTGGAGTTGCCTTGATTCATGTATGCATGTTTCAGAAACCCTTTCATTTCCATGTTGAAACGCCTGGGTGGACCTAGCCCCGCCCACTCAGCCCCTTCAGACTAGCCAGCAGCAATTAGCAAACATCTGCTGACCTCATCAACAGAGCTACTTCAGAAAGTTTTTAAAGAGACAGAGGCCCAAATTCAAGGTGTTAATTCAGGAAGTCAAATTTCCTTGAAGTCATATTTAATATATTTAACATTTTTATAACTGAAGTAACAGAGTTAGTTTGTTGTACTTTAAATGGATTATGTGTCTGGAAACATGATCCTGCCTCATTTCCTAGTCGGTCGGGTCAGATCGGGTCAGATCGGATCGGATCGGGTCGGATCGGGTCTTTGAGGTGTTGGAGGTTTTCCTGGACACATTGATGGAGCCGACTCCACCTGCTGATCATTAAAGCTGATTTTAGCTGCTGAATGGGGGCAGATGAGGAGGAGGAGGAGGAGGTGATTGATGCAGAGCTGGAGGAACAGAGTGTTTCAGGCGGCGCTGCCGTTGTTCTCATTAGTAGTGATGAGAGCTCGCCCCGAACAGACCGCCTCTGTTCGCTAATGAACGCACACACTGAGGCGACTAGACCTCCATTGGTCATACAACAGCGTCTCTGGGCCCGACTGGACGGGAACCAACTTCAGGCCTGCGCTTGTGTAACACTGAGGTCACAGGTTCGAATCCCACGTCGTTCAAGGTGGGGCTGACTCTGCATCCAGATCATGCTGAGGGTAAAAACACGTTTCATGAGTAACTGGGTTTGATCTGAACTTTAAAAAGAAGAAAAGTTCTTTACAGTCCAGCTGGACAGGAAGTGAGGAAACATTTTTCACGCTGGTCTTGCAGCAGGAAGGTTTGAATCCCAGCCTGGCGTCTGCAGTTTGGATGCTTGGTTTCTCTCCGCTTCCTGCCAAACACGACTGTCGTTCTAACTGGTCTGCAGGTTTGGCTTCATGCATGTTTGAGTCCCGTGTCTCTGTGATGAGTTGGTCTGGGGTCTCCCTGGCACCGGCCCCCATCAGGGACATGCGGGCGTAGATCATGGCGGGGCGGAGGGTCAGCAGTCTGCTCACAGTAAGACGACAGTAACAACACGCTGCGTTGTCCTGCGCTTTCAGACACACTGGACCCGACTAGTCAGGCTTCAGGACTCCTGCATCTTTTGTAGAAAAATATTCTTAAATAACTCGACTCAATGCAGCTTGACTCGGCTGATGTTCTCAAAGCAGCCAATCCAGGAGCTTCCTTCATTTCTTTGGTACCGTTTGAATGAACCACTTTGGGTTCTGTCCATGTTTTCACGCTCTGATCAGGTTCAGACTGGACACCAGACCCGTTAAGGTCTCCATTTGTTATTCTGCCTGGCAAAGCAGAGAGGCGCTATTTATGGATCAAAATCAAAAATAGATTTTTAATTGAATCATAAGATGGTAAAAGAGTCCCAGACCTTTCAGAAAGGTTCTGGTGAGTTAGCATCCTTAAAATAAATAAAACTGAGGTATGTGCACCAGAAACCAAAATATCTAAGATTTAGTGTTTTTGCAGTGAATGAATCAGTAGGAACCATGACCAATGGTTCGGTCCAAACGACTTGATGCTTCTCCACAGAACCTTTAAGAGCCTGGAAGAACAAAACATCCTGTGAAAAAGTTCTGGTTCTGCTCTGAAAGTGAGAAAAAGCAAACAACATCCCAGCACAAGCTCAGATGTGGATCAGAACCTTTGGACGGTTCTGGATGGACGATGAACTTCATGAGAAAATCGTCTCCAGAGACTCGAACTCACCGTGTGAAACGTCTGATATGAAGAAGCTCTTGTCTGGAAAACTGTGTTTCCCTCTTATGAGTGAATGAGCTGCTCTCCGTGTGTGTGTGTGTGTGTGTGTGTGTGTGTGTGTGTGTGTGTGTGTGTGTGTGTGTGTGTGAGAACAACAAACTAATCTGACCTGAATGTGTTACGTGCGCGCCAACGTGAACGCTCCCTGAAAACCGGGAGCACAATGTCTCTTTTGTTCAGTGAGAAAACTGATGAGGAGTGAAGAGGGGGGATGCTGTTGCCATGGCAGCGTGCTGCGGCGGGGGGGGGATCACCTCACACTGTAGACAGGAAACACTGAGGCCTGCGCCATTGTTGGTCACACACTTCACACTGGGAAAGAGAGGCCGAGTCCTCCAGAGGACGGACGGTTTGTCAGTGCGCTCACGTCCCACCAGCGGCTCTCTGCTTTCACCGTCTTCTGGTTTTGTCCGTTCGCCTTTGAGTCGATGAGAAAGCTGCAGACTCGTCTTTCTTTCCTCTAAACTGTCTCTGATCCTCCAGAATGAGACTCTAAACGGGACAAGAGGAAGTCTGATTCAGACGGTTCACACAAACTCCAAGAAAATCCACAAAAATTCATGAAAATAAACAGCATTGAAGTCAGACGGAGCTGCAGTTCCACACAATAAACATGATTTTGATGTATTTTACCAGTTTGTTGGACTTTTAGGAGTGAAAACCTGCTGAAAGGTTTCCTGTAAGCCAGATCTGACCTTCTGCAGGTGGCGCCCCCTGCAGCAGCTCACCTGTAATTACTGCCACAGGTTCTGTCTCTGCTGCTGCTCAGGTCTCTGACACACACACACACACACACACACACACACACACACACACACCTCCACACACACACACACACACACACACACACACACACACACACACACACCTCCACACACACACACACACACACACACACACACTCCACACACACACACCCACACACACACACACACACACACACCTCCAGAATCTCTGTGAGCATGTGCTGCCCCCTGCTGCCTCTCCAGTGGAACTGCAACTCAGATGCTGAAAGCAGCAAAAAAACAGGAAATGAGTCAGAGTGGAAATAATAAACATTATTAGGATATTAAATAGTTTCTTTGTAGAAAGATGTATAGAAATAATTTCTAACTTGACGAGCAGCAGCAGTGAAGCTCATTTCTTTCCTCGTGGCATTTTGTCGAAACGTTTGTTTGCTTCTACAAACTGCAGCTGCTGCCGTCCAAAAGCAGAGGCAACCGTTGCCGACGTCTGTCAACGTGTTGCTGCGTTTTATGTTGCAGAGCAGCAGAGCAGCTGGACATGCCGACTGACAACCACTCACCTGAGGAAGGCCTCAGCCTGAACCATCGCAGAGAGAAGAACAAAAACTGTTCAGAAACCAGAGAATATTTTCCCTCCATACTCATCCTGAAAATCCTGAAGATTTCCGGGTTGGAAGCCTGAATGATTCCCAAATCTTTTCCAGATTTCAACCTTAAACCTCGTCAAGAAGCAACTTACATGAGTTCATCGGCCCTCGTCTTCACTCGTCCATAAATTACCTACAAATATTTGAAGATACGCTGAATGTTGATGTTTTATTAAAGGGTCACATTTTATTCCAGCTTTTCTCTATTTTCCCATCCAACTAGAGACTTTATCATGTAAAAGCAGATAAATGTTCTGATCGCCGTCGTTCTGAACTCTGTGCCACCAGTCACCATGACAACACCAGCAAATTATTTAATGAATTTCTGCAACATGAGAAGAATTCAATGGTGGGGAGGTCTCTGCTCGGCCCGAATGTTAAAACACACCTGACCAGAACACTGACTTTCTGTTTGCTACATATTTAAAGTGTTTTTCACTGATCTGAAGAGGATTTTCCTAAATATTTCAGGGAGAGAAAATCAGTGGCGCAGCCAGTGGGGTGACATTTGCCACCCCTCTGGAAATGGTCATTTTGAAATACAATACTTATGAGATCGGCAAAGATTTGCCAGGAAAACTGTAATTTCCGACTGTCCCTGAAGGCAGCCCGATGCAGTCGCAGCCTACATGCTGCTCACTGACGCTGCTGTTCAAATCAAAACCAGCAGAAACATTTTCTGGAAGAAGTTAAATAAATAAATAGCAGAAAAGATATTTAGTCTGTTTGAGTTTAAATTAAAAATTTAATATGTGATTATGCTTGATTTAGTTCAACATGATGCAGATGTTTCATGAGATCACATGACACCGCTGGTCCAATCAATTCATAAAACAATAAAAAACAACAATAATATAAAACAAACATGAATAAAAATCTAATTCCAGACAGAAACGTTTGTCCTTCAGGTAGAGTACCACACATCAGGGTTAGGGCACCAGTAGATTATTAACATTAATCTTCTCATTAATATCTTACAAAACCAAAAACAACAGTGCAATAATAAAAAGGTTTGAACGGCTCGCAGAGCGGGAGGAAGAGACGGAGAAGCAGAACCAAAACGGACTGGAGGAGACGGGAGGACAAGCGGCAGGACGGTGGAGGATGGAGGGATGAAGAGGAGGAAGAAGGGAAGGGAGGACAGGATGGTTTCAGGTTGTTAAAAGGTTTTTAGATTCTGATCCAACATGGCTGCCAACGTGAAGTCTGGGAGGTTAAAACGGGCCGACGGTTCTGGTTCTTCTGAAACGGATCTGAATCTGTCTGATGGATCATCTGTAACTCTGACGGTTTCACCAATCGCAGCGTCTCCTCTCTCCGTTCGACAAACGCTGAGCTTCATTTACTGCCGAGTCACCAGAGACGATGCGAGTCTGGTGGGTTCATCGGCCCAGCGGGTCGGCTCGGCCCGGCGGGTCGGCTCGGCTCGGCCCAGCCCAGCGGCCCGGCCCAGCGGCCCGGCTCAGCTCAGCTCGGCCCAACCCAGCGGCTCGGCTCGGCCCGGCCCAGCGGCCCAACCCAGCGGCCCGGCCCGGCGGCTCGGCTCGGCCCGGCTCGGCCCAGTCTGGCGCTTCCTGCCATATTCCAGTCTCAACTCAGGCTGACTTGGATCGGCGCCGAGTGACACTGCATCAGGTTGAGAACTCTCTCTGATTGGTTGATGCTCTGCGTTCAGCTGCAAAACTTCAGGTTTTTGAAGCGTCGGCCATGTTGGATGTGCGAGCCGCTTGCTGTGAACGCAGCATCGTCCTGTAAACTACTTCAACTAAAGCCCAGCTGTCCTCTGTAATGTGCAGGAGGAAGCTGTGGTGCTGGTGTTCTGACCCGTTTCCACAGAAACCCAGCAGTTTTAACCGTGACCTCTGCGCCGCCGAAGCGAAGCGTCTCGGAGGAAGTTTGACCCGGATCCATCCCGGATGGAGGCGGATCAAAGCGTTTAAAGGAGGTCCGTTAAAGACAAACTTCGGCTTCGTTTGGTTCTGATTAAACTGAAATAAGTTGCTTCTGGATTTAAAGTGTTTCTAAAAAATGTTCCTGGAATAGAACCAGCAGCCTCAACATGAACTGTTGGAGGGCAGGGGTCACCTGGAGCTGAGGGTGAGGTCATGAGGAGACAAGAGGGAGGGAGGGAGGAGGGAAGGGGCGGGGTCAGGGCAGGTGGGCGTGGCCCGTCTGGGTCGGGTCGTCCCTCAGGAACTCCTCTTGGTCCTGGAGTGCTGGATCAGCCACTGCAGAGTGATGTCTGCAGACACAACAACATACCTAAACATCATCCAGCTGGTTTATTGTGTGCTTACAGACCAAAGGTCATGAGGTCATCAGCGTGAAAAGCTCAGACAGTAAAATATTATTATTATATGGTCAGTAAAATATTATTCTATAATAAATGTTTTCACCACAAAGACCAACAAAACCTGCAGGAAGCAGCAGGAAGTTCGTTGGTCCAGTTGTTTGGTCCGGACCAGATCCAGACTTTATTTTCTTTCTTTGGTTTGCTTTCACACTGAGCTTTTTGAAAGCGGATTAAAATATGTAAACAAAGTCACATGGGAGAAGATCAGTGCTCCTATTGGACAGAAATGAAGGAGGCGGGACCAAACACCTGGAACACATTTCCTGACTCGGCACATTTCTGCTAATGCGCTAACAGCAGAGCTAATGTTTCACTTGGTGCTTTAGCTAATTCAAAAACATTTAGGCACTTAGCCTCCTGCCTTTTCCCGCCACAATAAAATTAAACATATTTCATCTTATTTTGCTGAAATGTTTTCTATCTAGTGCTAAATAATAACAGGAACCACTTGGTTTGTGAACATTTAAGTTAATTTTACTTCTTCATGGAAAGCACATTGTGTAGATAAACGTGTGTGTGTGTGTATGTGTGTGTGTGTGTATGTGTGTGTGTGTGTGTGTGTGTGTGTGTGTGTGTGTGTGTGTGTGTGTGTGTGTGTGTGTGTTTACCAATGTTGTCTTTCTCCTTGCAGGAAATGGAGTAGCAGCAGATCTCTCTGTCCTGGATGGCCGACAGGTTCCTGAACACAACAACGACCCGAAACACTGAAACAGGCAGCAGAACAGCAGAGCCTGGAGCTCCAACTGGACCCCAGGGACCCACCGGGGACCAGGTCAGACCCGGGTCAGGACTTACATCCTCTCTATGAGCTCCTTCTCGTCCAGAGCGCCTGGCAGGTCCCGCTTGTTGCCCAGAACCAGAACCTGAGGACAGAGAGAAGGAGAACGGGTTGAATGCACCAGAACCAGAACCAGAACCAGAGCATGCAGGTAGAAAGCATTCAGTGCTGAGCGTTTGTGGATCAGGATGTGGGCCTGAGGGAAGCAGTCTGTCGTTTCAGGAAGTGAAGGTCGTACTTCAGAGAGTTTAAGTTTTATTTCTTGTGGTTCGATGATTCACATTTCGCTTGTTTACAGAAAACTGTGATGACATTTCCAGAAGAAGATCAGCATAAAAATAGTTTTTGCAAAAATAATGACAATAAAAAACATATAGTAAGTTTTGTGGCTGCTGGAGTTTAAAATATTTTTGGCCCACAAGTCAATAGTTTAAATAGCGCCGACTGCAAGATTTACGTATTATTGAGAAAGAAGAAAACTGTTGAAAAGAACCTCCAAAAAAGTCATAGAATCGATGAACTGACCAGATTTATCAGCCAGGTAAAAACTGATTCGATTTAAACACAACAGGTTCTATGCGTCCCTCTGGAGCCCACAGGGCCACATAAAGAGCTGTGGCCCGGGGGCCGGATCTGGACCCCGGGCCGTGAGTTTGACCCGTTCCGCTGAGCTCAGCTCTGGCTGCCTGGCGTTTCGGGTTTTCTCACAGGAATCCCCTGCAGCTGCGGTTTGTCCAGCAGGTTGTGCAGCTCGTTCTTGGAGGCTTCGATCTTCTCTGGATCGGCTGCGTCAACCATGTAGCTGCAGCAGGACGAAAACAAACGTCACAAACCAGAAGGAATCCAGACAGCCGCCGCGTCCTGACGACAAGTTAATCCTGAGAAAGATCCAAACTGAAGATACGAACCATGAATCCTCACAAAATGAAAACATGAATTTATTTTCTCATCATCTCATTTTATGACTTGGATTCTCAGAGGTAAAAATCTCCATAATCCAACTGGAATACAAGACACAGCAGAGGAACTGAGGGATTAGCAAACAGACACGAGGCCAGATTAGGATGAAGATGACAGGATTTGGATTAGGACATGGACAGACAGACCAGGTTACGATATGGAAGGACAGAAGGTCAGATTAGGATTAAGAGATTCACATGTGGATGAACTAAAGGTTGGATTAGAATTAGAATACAATTATGTCTGCAATATGGAAGGACATAGAGTCGAATTAGGATTAAGGATATTCACAAAAGACATTAGGATTAAACAAATCAGTCTTAAAATATGGACAGACGGCTAGATTAGGATTAGGACAGATCCAGATGTGGATGAAAATAAATTAGGATTAAAATAAAGAGAGACGGTTGGATTAAGACATGGATACGATCATATGGATGAATGTGATGTGGATTGGAACATGGATGGATTTATGGTTGGATTAGAATCAGAATCTGGACAGATTATGATGGAGATTAGATGCAGATAGACAGATGGATTACATATCAGTGGGAATATATGGGGCCTCTGCTGCTGCTGTGAGGAAACTCTGGTTCTGTTGGGCCTAGGGAGCCCCCCCCCCACTCTGCCGCCCGTGCCGCCGACTTACACGATGGCACTGACGCCCCGGCAGTAGCGTTCCCACATGCTCCTGAAGCGAGGCTGGCCGCCGATGTCCCACAGCTGGAGACACAGAGACGGATGTGAGAGGACAGAGCGGCACAGAGACACGCCGGGAATCGAACTACCAACCTTGATGGTGACGTTACCCTTGGTGATCTTCCTCATGTTGAAGCCCACTGTAGGTATCATGTCTTCGCTGAATTGACCCGACTGAAACACACACACACACACACACACACACACACACACACACACACACACACACACACACTCTGTCAAACAGCTGACACACACTGAACCGACTGATCAATCAGCAGCCTGACCTGCTGATCGATGTTTTCTGACTGAAGTGTCAGGTGACGTTTGTTACCCGGTGTCTGATTGCAGAGCTTTGCTGAGGCGGGTCAGATCGGTGGATAAGATCGGCTCCGTATGGACGCGCCGGCCGATAACCCGTCTCACCACACAAAGGAAATCTGGGCCGATTGATTCGCTGGCCCATAAATCGCTGCATGTCTACCTGAGACTGATGTTCAGGTAAGGCTGCTCTCACTCTGGATACATCTCTATGAAGCTCTGGTTTGTGTTTTCCTTCCACTAAACCTTCCGTTAATATGGTTGTAGGCCAATAAGCAATCAATCAATTAATCACCTGATAAATTAAAACTTTCCATTTGCATGATTTATTGTTTTTCGCTTTTTACCACAAACTGGATGATAAAAGTCTTCAGGCTGCCAGACATTTTTCCAGGACTTCATAATTCACTATATTTGTTGTTTTTATCATTTAGTTTGGATGTTTATAATATCCTTTAATTTCAATGATCACGAGACACTAAAGTTTACTGATATTTGTGTTCTTGCAAAAACGATCAATTATCAAGCTTCTTCATGTGATTAATTGATTTATTGGGCAGGTCTGTTTCTGCCTACTTCCTGCTGCCATTCGGGTTCAAGAGTTTCATCATTCGACAGGCGTGGAAACCTGTGAATTATAAATAATAGCAAAAACTAATCACAGTCATTTCTAGATGGAACAAAGATGATCATCACATCTTTCATGGCCCAAACAGAATTAATCTGTTTTAAAAGTATTTCATATTTAAATATTTGCTGTAATTTAGGATTTTTCTGGTTTTTCATTGGAACTAAATCTTTTGCTGTTTGATCCAGCAGCAGCCTCCAGATGTTCCCCTCCGCAGAACCAGGCGGGATGAACCCACGCAGATTCACCTGGAGGTGGAGGAACCCGAACCCGACCTGCTGGACTCCACCCGCCTGCCTCCAGCTGACCTCACCGCTGCAGGACAACAACGGACGCCGCCACATCCAGCAACACTCACCGCTATCACATTCACAAAGGTGGTCTTCCCGGAGTACTGCAACCCCACCAGGGTCAGCTCCATCTCCTCCTTCCAGAACAGAGCCTTGAACCAGTCCAGGAGTTTGTTGATCAGCGCGATCATGTCTGCGCTCCGTCCGCTACAGCTGCTCGGTTAGCTGCTAACTGGCTGCCCGGCCCGACGCTCCGCTTTCTGTGCCGCTGACAGCCGCTGAGACACCCGCAGCCGGTAAGAGGGAGAGCCACAGAGCCAAGCGGCCTCACATTCACTCTGGAGCTCCGGTAGCTCGGTGTTTTACTGCTTTAATACCCACCGAGTGGCTTTTCTCTGCTGTTTACTAGCTGCGCCTTTTCTTGCTAGCGCCGACAAGGAGGAAGCAACGCGCACGAATACATCCGGCGGAGCCCTTCAGAATAAAACACAGAGAAAATCTATTGTGTCAAAACTTACAATAAAATAAATTTTTTTACACTCAAACATAATGTACTTACTTATTTAATCAATCCGTGTAATCCTAATGTGTTGATTATTCAGCATAATATTCACTATTTAGCCTTTTCGGTGATTCCACATAAAGGGGTGAGTCAAAGTGCGGCAGTATTTCCGGTTTGGGTGGGTTGGTGGAGGAGGCTGAGGAGAGCAGAGCAAAGACAGGCAGAAACAGAAATGTAACGAGTTCTGAAACACTGACCTCTGTTGGTTCACTGCATGATTCCTGCGACAATCTGATGTTTTCTATTTATAGTCTGATCTGAACACAGAAGGTTTGGTTCCCATCAGGACATCATTAAATATGTTTGGCATTTTAAAATGTTGAGGTTTGGACCTCATAAAATCCTCCACATCAGGAATCATCAGAGACACGAAGGATCATTTAGAGCTGTGGCGTCAAACTCGTTTTTGTTTTGGGCCAAATGAAGATCATGAATGTTCTGAAAGGGCCGGCTGCGCCACAGTGGATCAAACCTGTTAACATATTCATGAACTCAATAACATTGAACATTTTTTCAGTCCATGCAGGATTACGAGTTCGTTTTTGTGATTTTTTTGGAAACGGTTTGTGGTGCTAATTTAAAACTATTTCCAATATTTGTGCTTCAGGTAAAGTCGATGCAGCTGTTAGCATCACTTGAACCCAAATGTTTTTGACCATTTTTATGGAAAAATCTGCAGTAAGCTCACAGATATGCTTGGGCACAAAAAGCTGCAGGGATTTGTTGATTTTTGTGTGAATTTGCAAGAAACTGGAGGGACTGATTGATGAAAGCTGACAGAAAATAAAACTGTTTGATTTGATTGATTACATAATATATAAGCACAGTGTAATCTGGACGGTTGGCACCAAAAAAGGCTACGGGGGCCGGATTCGGCCCTCAGGCCTCGAGTTCATGATTTAAAGAACAGTCATGTTTCTGGACAGGAGGAACCCGAAGCTCCCGGTTGATTCAAAACAGACAACTATATTATTGACATGAATATAACAGCAGGTCCTGGTTAAACTGATGATGAGGTCAACCTGCCGCCATGTCAGATGCAGGATGTTTAGCTGATGACACCTAGTGTTCATTGGTGGTACTGCAGGAACAACTCATCCTGCTGATCCATCAACAAAATGCTGTTTTTGTTCAGAAACATCAAGAAGCACAAATATTTTTAATTTAAAACAAACCTGAATTTATACATTTCAGCTAAAAAAAATACTAAAGCAAATAACCAGAAAAGAATCTGAAACAAGTTTTCAGACTTTGTTTCATTAAAGTTCAATTCAAAAGTTCCTATTTTTTAAATTAACTTTATGAACCGTGGAGATTTAGCTGAACAGAACCTGATGGTTGGGTTCAGCTCTGCTCGTCTCTGAGAAACAAACAAACATGTAAACAATACATTTATTTCATTTTAATAATCTAATTTTTTATTTCTCTTTTCAGTCCAGGATGAACATTTTGGTTCTTTGGGTTCTCCATACTTTCAGAGTCAAACTGAAGATCCAGTTCTGGTTCTGCTGTGTTGCCCTAATGGATCCAATTTCCTGTCAGTCCTGTCTGCTGCCGATGTCCATGAGACGACTCTTCGGTTCTCCTGATTCTCCTGGTTCTCCCTGTTCTCCTGATTCTCTTGGTTCTCCTGATTCTCCTGCTTTCTTCAGATTTCTTTGAGGGCATTGCTGGTTTTGTAGGTTCTGGTTTTTCTCAGTTCTGCAGTCGAAGGTTCTGCAGCCGTACGCTGGCCTGGTCCTCAGGCTGGTTCTGTGAGTCTGTGTTGGTCTGGTTCTGGTCCTGATGGGGAGAAAACGCGGTTAAACTGGCAGTTCTTCAACTGAGACACAGAAAGTCGTTTCTCCTGATTTGGTCGAACTTGGCAGCAGGCGGGTCTGACTGACTCCTTTAAAAAAAAGGTTCTGGGCCCGGCTGTATGAGGTTCTGTACCTGGTTCTGCTGCAGCTGGCGGCTGTACTGGGCCAGTGTGGAGTACAGGAACTGGTACTGCTCGGTGGTCTGGATCATCCCCCCTGCACAGGACAGAAGAGGAGAAGCATCACATTTAGATGAAGGTTCTGGCGTTTAACGTTGGAACAACACAGTTCTAACTTTATGCAGTGACCATCTCCTGATTTTTCCTCCTGGTATCATGAGGCTACATGGCAAATTGCTTCTGGACCTTCAGGATCTGAGCCCCGCTAATGGGACCCAAACGGGTCAGAGAGAACTACAGCATAAAGGCAGGAAATATTTCCAGCAGCGAATGTACAAACATCCAAACAAAATGACCTTCAGACGACCTCACCTGTCGAGTCGAAGCTGGCAAACCGTCTCCAGAATGTCCACCTGTCCGGTTTCTCTGAGCTGCTGGCAGCAGATGCTGCTGGCGATGAAGCAACCCGTCCGGCCGTGCCTGCGCTGAGGACAGAACAGCAGAGCAGCTTCACAGTCTCACTGCTACAACATTGTTGAGATACAAGGAGCTTCCAGGAAAAATCCTCCTTCCTGTCTGTCAAAGAGCCACAGAGGATCAAAGTGTCTCACTGACAGCCTGCTGGTCACTAAGAGTTTCAGATCCAGTTTGAAACCAGTTCATTCCTTGTTTTCAGGATTTACTTGAGTGGGAAGGAGCTAACAGGCCCGTTTCCCCAGAAACACTACGCTGGGACCCAGAGCCCCAAAGAGGAAGTGATGTTTTGGGGTTAGGTTCTGGGTAAAGCTGTAGAAATTAATGGAAAGTAAATGGAAGTAAAATCTTTGTGAAGACAGGAAAACATTTTATTGTTGTACGTTTGCAAATTGCCCATTTCGGATAAGCTGTGGTGATTTTACCTCTAAAGACGGATTCCCTCATTGGGTCCAGTTCATACTCATGTCCTGATTGAGAAAAGCCTGTAAATGGTTGGATGAGTGTTTATTTATTAAAAGAGGTCAGAAACTACCCAGACGAAGCCGCAGCTCCCTTGGTCACCCCTTGGGGGCCCGCTGCTGAGCCAGTGTGGTAGATCTATGGTTATAGAGTCAGCCTTTGAAGTTTGGTGTGAATGAAGCCCAGGGTTATGTTGGGCAGAAACGCCACCTTTGGGTCATTTCCACACCGCAGCAGTTTATCTGCCTGCCAGGCTGCGGCCGCTGCTCAGGTTCAGCCGCCGACAGGAAGCGGCTTCAACGCATCCTCCGCTCTGGCTCACACATTTCAGCCTGCTGTTGCTGGAAAACAGTTTTTACAGTTTTTATGCTGGTAAAAGAAGAAACAGGTTTTCTCCATCAGGACTGTTGACTTTTTCTCAGGTTGGATTTTAGTATTTAATCTGATGTGTTAGCGGTAGATCATCATGTCTACATGATGGGATTAATATTTGCCCTGAATAATGCTGATGTTACGATGCTGTTTTACAAATGAAGAGATTCATTAAACAACATGACCAGTTTCTGCTGATCCGCCTTCCCCTCCTGCAGAGACTCAAACCAACAACCTGAGTTAAGTATTTTTATTTTTATTTTTAAACTACAGTAAAACTACAGTTTTAGATCCTGTGGATTTGGAGTCGATGCAGATCTGGACCAGTGTGAAGCGAGGTGAAAAGGTCTGTCTGCTTGGGATCAAACTCTGGTTGTTAATGTCTTTTCTCTTTAATTTTGACTTTGCAAATTAACCATTTGTTCTTCAACATATTAAAATTGACTGGAGGACAGAAGCTAAAGTGTCTTTGTTTTGCAGTAAACTGGAGGCTAAAGCTGCTTTTTCATAAACACCAACCTGCAGTGGACTATGATTGGTCCGTTACCCGGAACGGCGTCTGTGATTGGCTCCAGGGACTTCCTGTGCGTCTCCACATCCTCCACCAGCTTCAGCAGAGAAACAATGCATTCTGGGATGTGGTGGTCGGGCCAGGAGCTGAACCAGTAGTGTCTGACCAGACGGCGCTCAGAGTTCAGCTGGAACACAGTTCAAGGAGGCAGGAGTTGGATTTTCATTAAAGATCGTTCAGAAAGCGAAGGCGAGGATGACGATGAAGCTTCTTCAGAACCAAACTAACAGAATCAACTTCTGGACCATCAACAATCTCTGAAAGCTGCAAAGAGGAAATGTATTATTTATTTCAGTAAATAATACATTCATTTCTTTACTGAAAGGTTTTAGTGATAGAAACTGAGAATCAGGAACAAAACATAAATCAGGATCTGATGGGAAAACAGCGACATCTAGAGGCTTTTGAAGGTAATAACCAATTTTAAATTGCTCCTTTAAACTTATTTTTATTTGTTGGCTTTAATTGAGTTAATTGTAACTTTTATTTTATTTGCTTATTGTTATTACTTTTTGTATTATTATTTTCTCTTCCTCTTTTCATTCACTTATTTTATTGTTATTGATTTTTAAACCAGTTTTTAAAAGTGCTTAAATAAATAAATTTGACATTAGAACTAGAAAGACAGAACTCACAGAAAGTTTGACAAAAAATGTGACAAAACCAAAATCAAAACGTTATTAACCACAGAGCATGACGGGACGATGAGGCCTGAGTTTGTCTGAACTTTGTTTCCTGTTTCTGTTTTATTTTAGTTTGTTTTAAAAGCTGCAGTTTGGATAACCAACCAGGGTTCAGATCAGCTCAGGATTCAATATTTTCAGCCTGTTGAACCTAAAAACATGAACAGGATCTGAAATGCATCCCAGACGGATGTGAGGAAAGTCCTCAGGTGGAACCAGATATTTACATACACTGGCTGGAGTTATAGCTACAGTCACTTTTTTCTATTTGCTGAATGTTAGAAAACTGAGCGATGATATTTTTCAGAATTCAGATGTTTGTAAACATTTGGTCATTTCAGGTATAAGAGTCTTTTCAAATGATTTAACATCAGACAGGCAGGAAAAATGACTATTTTTGTGTTGGACTCACCTGGATCTGCAGATCAGAGATGATGAAGCCGTTTTTTTCCCGTCTGTCTTTAACTCTCAGCAGGAATCTGCCGAAACGACTCGTCTGTCCCTCGTCTTCGTCCCTCTGGATCTCATCCTGCCGGTCCTCGTCCTCCTCCTTCACCTTCGTCCCGTCCCTCGGCTGCGGCCAGTACGGCTCGCATTTCTGAGCAGAGACACGTCAGACGCTGAGCGGCGATCTGGTGATGAATCACAGAGAGAAACGAACCACCGCACCTGGTTGTTCTCCTTCAGCTTGGTCACCATCACAATGATGCTGCTGCGCTCCTGCCACACCATGTCCCAGAAATCTCCCACCGTGTGCAGCATGGGCCCCTGGGTGGCGATGAAGGCCCTGGGAGCCCCTCTGTAGCCCTGCAGGACATCCAGACCATCACAGCTCAAAGCGTCTGCTGCAGCCAAAACGCCAAACTCAGAACAACATGGACGTTTTTTTAAACCGTCATAAAGTAAAACAGTAACAAAGTTTTACTCTATACTAAATTTCTATATTTTTTACTCCTTACATTTTCACTTGTTATTTCCATGATGGAAAAAATCCTGCGCTCACACAAGAAGAGTTCAGTGCCTGTAATTCACCAGTCAGTTGGTTTTCTGTTGCTTTAAACCAGGTTGTAATTATTCTGTCAGACTCCTCAGTGGAAACGGCCGATCAGTGTGAGGTGAACGATGCTACGTCACAACTTATTCAGTAAGTTTCCAAAAAACAAAATCTAAAAACATTTTTTCCAAACTGAGGAGGTTATTTTAGATTTTAACGTTTCTAATGCGATAATTCAGAATGAGAAACATTGATGGAAACACGACTCGAGTCCTTAAACGTTTAAACAGGAACTGATATCAATATCCAATATTAATATCCCTGTTATGTCAACAAATGACACAGCTGATCACCTGATGAGGTGATGCTAATGTTTCCGTTAGCATCATGCTAATGTTTCCGTTAGCATCATGCTAATGTTTCCGTTAGCATCATCTCATCAAGCTTAAAAACTGTTTTACAAAACTGAGCTGTTTTGAATTTTCTGTCTACCTTTCCTGATATGATCCATCAAATATTTTCTGATGGAAACACGGCTTCTGCAAGCTTCCCAAGTTTTACAGCCCACAGCATCACTCCTCCACCGCTGTGCCTTAAATGTTAAGGACTCGGTAAAAGTCTTGTCCTCCATTGCGTCTCCAGGGTTACTGCTGATGTTTCCCATCTACACTGAAGCTACCTGCTAAAATCATCTGCAAGCACTGAAGATGAATTTTATGCCATTTGTTCAAAGTTAACAAGTTAAAAACCATCAAATGTTTTGAATGTTTGCCTCTATGTTGCATGACTTTGTGTTTCTGTGTTTGTTGTGATGTAAATGTGCTATCAAATAAAATGTGGTTAATAAAATGCTGCATTTCTTCCGACAGATAACTTCAGTTCTTCACACAGTAACTTTTATTTGGTCTAAACTGCTGTCTTCGTTTCATCTGCTGTTTTGTGGTTATTGCATCAAGCAACCCGCAGCTTCTTTACATCCCCTCAGCTTCTGAAACCAGCCCACTTCCTTCACGCCATGAAACAGGAAGTTAATGATTAAGACACTTTTGCTCCTCAAAATCAACCATCAGGTATCAACCGGCAACTCGCGACTCGCCGGCCAGACTTATCAGAGCAGGTGAGCCAAAAGACGGAGCCGCAGGTGTGAGCTTGATGAAAACTGCTGGTGCACACACTCCTGATGCGGCGGAGTGAGGGATGCGTGGGCGGAGGAGAGGAGGGGTGAGTCAGGGACAAGTCACTTCCTCCCTCACTTCCTGTGGCTTTCCTGGTTGTCAGACTCCCACGTTGACAAACTGACAGCTTGCACCTCAACTTCTTTTTACTTAACCATTGGAAATACACACACACACACACACACACACACACACACACACACACACACACACACACACACACACACACACACACACGCACAGAAAAACAGATCGACCAGAAGACGCCCACGCTGAGTGACGGAGCTGTCACACACTCAACCAGCTTCCTTTATCTTTAATAAAACCCAGAAGGAAACTCGTTTCTGTCGCTGAACCTAATTAAACAGCTGTGACACTTTAATAATAAGACAACTTGACAACAGCAGATATGTGTTCGTTTTAACTTGAGCAGAAGATGCACAAAATGACCCTTTTTGTCCCAGAAAGAACAGTTTCTTTGTCTTCCAGCCTCATTTTGTGCATATTGCTTTCGTCCTGATTCATTCGGTTCTCCATGTATCGTCTGAATCGGGGCGTTGGTGCCGATCTGTGGTTTTTGGATGAGAGGTGGAAACATCCTGGACATCACAAGAAAATACACAGACACCCCCCCCACCCCCCCACATACACACACACACACACACACACACACACACACACACACACACACACACACACACACACACACACACACACACACACACACACCTCAACCGATCCATGAGTCGACGTTCACTCAGCAGGTTAACGAAGCAAATATCTGACTTTTTATCTCTGCATCCCACAAAACATCCAGTTTTTCTAACTCCACTGGGTTTTCAAAGCGTCTCAAGGCTCATGTCATATTTCATCAACTTCTTTTTTATTTATCTTTATTGATTCTCAAGGAAGTAACATTTACATGACCTTTGATCTCTACACCACAAAACTAACTTCAATATTTGAAATAAGATGAACAAATAGACCATTACATTATATTTTACTGGCTTTTCATCAGCTTCCTCCATCTGCTGACCAAGCTGTCGCTCTCAACAACTTTAAAATCCTGGACCTACATTTGTCCAGACACGGCGGCCATCTTTACCTACATCCGTCCAGACATGGCGGCCATCTTTACCTACATCCGTCCAGACATGGCGGCCATCTTTACCTACATCCGTCCAGACAGGGCAGCCATCTTTACCTACATCCGTCCAGACATGGCGGCCATCTTTACCTACATCCGTCCAGACATGGCGGCCATCTTTACCTACATCCGTCCAGACATGGCGGCCATCTTTACCTACATCCGTCCAGACAGGGCGGCCATCTTTACCTACATCCGTCCAGACATGGCGGCCATCTTTACCTACATCCGTCCAGACAGGGCAGCCATCTTTACCTACATCCGTCCAGGCACGGCGGCCATCTTTACCTACATTTGTCCAGACACGGCGGCCATCTTTACCTACATCCGTCCAGACATGGCGGCCATCTTTACCTACATCCGTCCAGACAGGGCAGCCATCTTTACCTACATCCGTCCAGACATGGCGGCCATCTTTACCTACATCCGTCCAGACATGGCGGCCATCTTTACCTACATCCGTCCAGACAGGGCAGCCATCTTTACATCCGTCCAGACACGGCGGCCATCTTTACCTACATCCGTCCAGGCACGGCGGCCATCTTTACCTACATCCGTCCAGACACGGCGGCCATCTTTACCTACATCCGTCCAGGCACGGCGGCCATCTTTACCTACATCCGTCCAGACACGGCGGCCATCTTTACCTACATCCGTCCAGGCACGGCGGCCATCTTTACCTACATCCGTCCAGACACGGCGGCCATCTTTACCTACATCTGTCCAGCCACGGCGGCCATCTTTACCTACATCCGTCCAGACATGGCGGCCATCTTTACCTACATCCGTCCAGACAGGGCAGCCATCCTTACCTACATCCGTCCAGACACGGCGGCCATCTTTACCTACATCGGTCCAGACACGGCGGCCATCTTTACCTACATCCGTCCAGGCACGGCGGCCATCTTTACCTACATCCGTCCAGGCACGGCGGCCATCTTTACCTACATCCGTCCAGGCACGGCGGCCATCTTTAGCTACATCCGTCCAGACACGGCGGCCATCTTTAGCTACATCCGTCCAGACACGGCGGCCATCTTTAGCTACATCCGTCCAGACATGGCGGCCATCTTTAGCTACATCCGTCCAGACATGGCGGCCATCTTTAGCTACATTTGTCCAGACACGGCGGCCATCTTTACCTACATCCGTCCAGACATGGCGGCCATCTTTACCTACATCCGTCCAGACAGGGCAGCCATCTTTACCTACATCCGTCCAGACATGGCGGCCATCTTTACCTACATCTGTCCAGACATGGCGGCCATCTTTACCTACATCTGTCCAGACATGGCGGCCATCTTTACCTACATCCGTCCAGACAGGGCAGCCATCTTCACCTACATCTGTCCAGACACGGCGGCCATCTTTACCTACATCCGTCCAGGCACGGCGGCCATCTTTACCTACATCCGTCCAGACACGGCGGCCATCTTTAGCTACATCCGTCCAGACACGGCGGCCATCTTTAGCTACATCCGTCCAGACATGGCGGCCATCTTTACCTACATCTGTCCAGACATGGCGGCCATCTTTACCTACATCTGTCCAGACATGGCGGCCATCTTTACCTACATCCGTCCAGACAGGGCAGCCATCTTTACCTACATCCATCCAGACATGGCGGCCATCTTTAGCTACATCCGTCCAGACATGGCGGCCATCTTTACCTACATCCGTCCAGACATGGCGGCCATCTTTACCTACATCCATCCAGACATGGCGGCCATCTTTAGCTACATCCGTCCAGACATGGCGGCCATCTTTAGCTACATCCGTCCAGACATGGCGGCCATCTTTACTGCCATAAACAGAGCGCAAATGTTCTTCTTGGGTCGCTTTGGGATCAGAAACTGATCACACAGAACTTTGACTGCAGTCGGGTTCAGTTAGAACAAAACATGTCGAAAAACTCAGATTTCAGCAAAAAACTGAGCATCAGAACCTGGTGCTACTAAATGCACCACTGTGCAAACATTTGGACTTAAACCTGCCAGGTTCTGTAATCTGTCTGCAGCACTGTGACTGGGTGTGTTGGAGGTAATCCATTACGGCAGGAGAACTCGGACTGTGTTGTCACAAAATGCACCTCAGCATGTCTTCAGATTTGATCCTGAATGATTAATTTCTATCTGGTCATCAGTTTACAGATTTTAAATCACGCAGAAGCTTTAAAAACTCCTGGGCCAGAAGTTGTGAAGTTCCATGCAGATGATGCAGGTTGTTACCTCAATGTTTAGTCTGACCCGCAGTTTGATTTGTCTGAATATTTTGGAGCATTTTCTGCTGAAGAACCCAGTGACGACACATTTTTGAGTTTTCATTTCAAATGTCCTGAAATTCCTGATGTACCGATTTAGACTGCAGTTCGTTGGTTTGAATGAAGTGGAGTTGATGGCTTGTTTTATTAATTATAACTGAAAAACCTTTCAGCTTTGGATTTGTTTTTCACAGTAGAGGAGGATAAAATGAGAGAAGTTGGTTTTATCTGAAGTTTAGTTTAACTAATGGCTTAAATGGAAAAACGCGCCAGTACTGATTCCACCGACTGTTAACATTTAAAGTTAACAAGTCAAACTAAACAGAATAAATGACTATTTATTTTCCACTTTGACCAAAGTGAAACCCTAATCGGTGTTTTCGTTTTCATTCTTAGAGATGTTTTCCACTGCGGTAAAAATGTTCCTGTTCACACGTCGGACCTGTTTTAGATCACAGATTAGATTTAATCTGTTTTTTTCTTATTTAAGTGAAAATCAAGATGTTTCAAACCGACTTTAATCAGCAGGAAACAAAGCAAAGCTCTCACCCTGACATAGTTGGCGTTGATGTAGCGATCCGGACCCGGTTCTTCCTCCAGGTTCTTCAGGATCACCCGAGTCTCCGGGTCTGAGAAGCAAACCGCAGTGATGAGTCGGAGGAGAAGATAAGATCAGCAGAGCTGCTGCTGAGGCGCTTACTGGGCAGGATGGTTTTGTATCTGTCTTTCATCATGTGTCCCGGAGCGTCCAGATCGGCTGCGCTCACAAAGTTTGGAGGAATCTTCTGCAGGGGAAAGCAGAACATGTTGGACATTAAAATTTATTTAATTTTTCCTCTTATCTGTCCGGCTGCTGCATTCAGCCAGCAGGCAGGAATAAACAGGACTTTGGCTGGATTTTATGACTTTGGGTTTAGTTTTGTATAATTTTGAGTTATGTTGTATTTTCAAGGTTGAGCTCAGAGCTAAATTTCTACATTCACTTCATCACTGGCTTCATGTCTCCACTCTATAACTGTAGCTTTTCCTCTTGTCTTGCACGATATGTCAGCTGAAAACAGGATGAGCCGTTTGAACGGCAGTGCAGACGCTTATCGATGGATCGATAGGGACATCAGCATCGAACTGAATCGATTTCACCAGCAGGTGAATACAGCGGTTCTCCAGACCCAGCTTTTATTTTGGTAGTCCACAATTTACAGAGAATTAGCTAAATATTTAGCTAGCTTAGAGCTAACCAGATATTTTTTCTAGATCACTGCTAAATATTTACTTTGAAGCTAAAGAGTTGGATTGATAACTAAATATTTAGTCTCACCTTAAGTCTTTAATGTGGAGCTTAATGTGTAAAGTGGAGTTATTTATTAAATGCTAGGAAGCATTTCATCATCAATACTTTGACAGATTAAACCAAAACTTATTTTCTATACTTTTTCTTAAAGATTTTTGAAATAAGATAAATAAAATGTTTTATTTTTATTTTTTAAAATGAAAAAATGGAGAATTTTCATTGTGTTAAATCTGAACATTTTAGAGCTTTAGTCTTTGAAGGATAACCTTTCACCTCAACAGATAATAAAACCCTTACCTGGTACTCTGTGTTCAGAGCGCTGGTGTCTGCTGCAGCTTCCTGTAACTGCGCATGTGCAAGCGCTCGGGACGAGGTATGTAGCAGCTGAAGCCACACCTCTTTGGGCGTGGTCACAGAGCAAACTGACTCCGCCCCCAGATTGCTCACATCCAATAGCAGCGACAGGTTGGAACCCCGCCTTTTGAAAATAAAATAACTGTTTTGAAAAGGTTTTTAAAAATAAACAACATTTAAATGAATCTTTTACATTCTGCAGAAGTTTAGGTGGGAAAAATGTTTTTTTTTTTTAGAAACAGCTTCATTCATGCTAAAGATTTGATGCAAAGATTTCTTTAGATGCAACTTTCTACTGATTGAGATTATTTTTGAAACACAGCAGAAATAAACTGGATGTTGGAGGGTTGAATGTGACTCTTTCCGTTCTGGACGAAACCTCATTTTCTTGACTCAAGATTTTAACCATGAAAGAGCAGCAACAAAGTAACAAAGTCAATGTGTTTGAAAACTCAACTGATTTCTCGTCAAGTGCTTTTCACCCAAATTAAAGTAAATTTAATAGGAAATGAACACAAGTCAATTCCAATTCAGTTCTAATTAATTCTACTATCCGCTCCCATTCAAGTTCAATTGAGTTACAAGGGTGGAGTCAAAGTGATGATAGAGTGTAAATATATTTAATATATTGTCCAGCTGTTCCTCATTGGTTCTGCAGCCATGGTTCTCCTCACCGTTCCTGGAGGCGGACTGAGGCTTTTCGAGGGGGTGTGGTCAGCGGCGGCGGCGACACCGGTTCCTCGGCAGGAACGGAGCCCAATGAGCTCATTATGAGTGTTTTCTGTTAAAGATGATTTATTTTCTGAGCTGCATTCAGCTCCTCAGCTCAACACCATGCTGCAGAAAAACACAGACAGCATCATTGCACTTTAATCAAAAACCCATGTCACAAAACAAGCAACATTTTCAATTGAAAAATCCTTTTTGCTGCTAAATTATGGAATAACAGGAATGAACTCAACAAGAAAGATATTTATTGCTTTTAATCTGTTGTTTGGGTCATTTAAGTTTTGGTCTGTCTTTCAGCTTTACGGCGTTTCTTTGATCCTTCATGGAGCTTCTTTACAATGTAGACTGTGGACGCTCACATTAGCATTAGCTGCTACTTGTTTAGCATTGAGATGATATTTTAGTCTAACAGCTTCTCTGACATGCCAACTCCTTTTAGCACAACTTCAACACAACAATCGTCTTTTTCAGGGCCAATCAGATCATTTAGAAGCAGAACTTAATCCTCTGCATTGCTGCTGTTCGCAGATGTAGCCTGTGCACCAGATTTATGGATGTACCAGAAACGTGCAAATACAAAGGTTCCATCTGGAACTTTTACATACATTTTTTTCTTGCAATAGAATCTCTGGAATGTATGAATAAATTAATGCTCTAAAGTCAGTTTAAAATAAAATGTCCTCTGTCCATTTCTTTTAACACTCTACATTTAGCTCGAGACATAAGACAGAGTTTCTGAATGAGCTACTTTTTAGATGTTTTTAGTGATTACATTTTATTTCAGCTTTACTTTTCTTTGTGTAGATTAGTTCTCAGTCTGGTTTTATCTTATGTAGTTCAGTCAAGTTGGGGGTCTGAAACAAGTTGCAGTAAAACAAACTGTGGCCTTTTATTACATTTGTGTGGAGTTTAATTTGATTTTACAATAAATAATTGTAATATAGTTTTATTTTACAGAAAGGAAATGTTGAGTTTTTATCCTGTAATGCTGTAAATAATTATTTTAGCTTAATTTATTTGCAGTGTGTTTCTAGTACAGCTGGGCCTGCCTGTAAGTGTTTTAATGGCAACACCAGCTGTTCATTAACAACTGAAAAACCACAAACTTTACATCAGTAACTGGATCCTAAATACAATTCATCCAGAAGTTCATCCAAAGTGTTTTACATAACAAGACAAATCAAAGAAAAGAATTCAAGATATAAAACAAGTATAAAAAAAATACATAATAATGAATAAAGACAATAAAAACAGCTTATCGTCTTACCCTGGGCCAAACCCTACTGGAAAAAGATTTAAAGAGACTCAACAGAAAAAGTTCAAACTCCAGTTCGTTTTTGATAAACGAAAAAGTCTCTGGTCTCCTGATCTGAGGGTCCACAAAGGAAGATCCGGCTACAGTAAGTCAGATAGGTGGATCTGTGGATTGTTCCTCTTTTGGAAAACAGCCACTGGATATTTACAGATTTATTCAAGAAATTCTCTTCATCAAAGGCCAAACCAAACCAAGCAAAACATGGAGAAAACGTGAAGCAGCCAGAGGTGATAAAACCAGCCTGAAGCCGTTTAATGCATCCACTGCATTCAACAGCGTTCTGACCGCTGGATGCGTCGGTAACTGCCTGATAAGAATGTTTCCCCCTCTGGTTCTACTCTGACTGCTGGATGCTTGGGAACCGGATCAGTTACACCTCATCACATCCACATCAGACTGTCTTTCCAGTTCTTCGCTTGGCATCGAGCAGCTTTTCACAATCAGTGTGTAAAATTTGCATGAGTGCCACAGAATAAAGCACATTTCAAATGTGAACATTTAAAGTGCAGGTTAGCAGAATGCAGCAGAGGTTCAACATGGAGGACAACAGACGCAGCAGCATTCCTGTTGCCTTCAAAAGTTCCCCAAACTTTAGGAAACAATGCAAACTTGTTACTGAGGGTTAAAGCCAGCATGTAACAGCTGAACTTTGACCTTGTTAATGGTGGAGAGCTGAGGAGCGCTGTGGTCACACACTGGGGAAGCTACGCATTTGAAATAAATGCAAGGTGTTATCTTCTGTTCCTTACGTTCTATTTCATTAGTCATTTATGTTTCAGGTTATTTAAATATTTCTGCAGAGTTTCTCACATTTATTCAGAATGTAAAAAAATATTTGCATTCTGTCTAAGATGCAAATATAACATTAGACTCCCTGTGTCTCAATACAATCATTATTAACATGAACAAAAAAGAGATTTAACTAGGACGCCAAGCAGAAAGCAACATTTACATGTTCAGTTTGTTAGTTTGACATTAAGCAGTTTTTAAAAAAAGTCCACCAGGTTCTGGCTGTTCATGTGGGCCGGGGTCAGATGGGCAACACCAGATCTTAGAAATGGATTCAAGTGTCATTCATCTATAGTTGAATACTGGAATGAGTGAATGCAAATCAAAAGTTTTCCCTCTCCAAACAGCCGAATGCCCAAAACCCACACATGTTGAGCTTTTAGCTTTTTTGCTACGTTAAACCTGACCACACTCACCATTCTGATCTCCGCAGCTCTTTTCTTGCTTCTCAGGTTCACTTTAAGTTAACTTTAAACGTCTGACGTGTTTTTGTCATGAATGAACTTCCTGATGAGATGAGGTTCAAAATCCAGAGTCCTCTGACAGAAACCGAATTGGCTCAAAGTCGATGTCTGATAAACCAGCCACTGCTGCGATGAGGAGGCATCTCTCTCTATGATGAAGCAGAAACTGCTGGAACGGACGTCTCTCTCTCTCTCTCTCTCTCTGTCTGTGTGTGTGTTAGATATCTGTGTGTTTCCACATCACTACAGATCTGAAATGTTTCAGTTTGTCTCTGTCGGAAGAGCGTTTCCTCAGAGCAGGAAGTCAGCACGCCCACGCTTACTCAACGCGCAGAACACAAACACCACAGACGATACGGCCAAACATCGAGTGCTCTGGACTCTGAAGGCCAAAAGCTGAACATCTGACAAAGAAAATACTGAAGGGTCACCAATATTCTCTGCTGAGGTGCACAAACTTCCTCTGAGTTGTTCAGTTATTCTTCAGACGGCAGTTTTGAACTTATTTTTAGCTTCTCTTTAAAAACAAGATGGGCTGAATTTCTTCAGTTTCAGTTTGAAGGATTTGGCGAGCAGACAGTTTTCAAACGTCATCCGGCTGTTTTGACTCTTAAAGGCCACATCACTACTCTCCCACCTCTGTGCATTTGCTGTGGTAGGCCAGGATGAGTCTGACTTGACGTGATTTTTATGCTGTGGTGGTGAAGGTTGAGGGGAGTTTGATGTCATTTCAGACCTTCTGACATTGACTAATTATTTTCACTTCTTGTCACAGTTCAGCATTTTTTAGTTAGCTTGGCCACAGCTAACTTCTCAGTTCAATAATAAGAGGAAAATCCCAAGAACTCTGCAACTGAGGCCCTTAAAGCTGCAGTATGTGGCTCCTATAAAATATTTGTTTACATATTTGTTGATCTTGCCCGAAATGTTTGCTGGAAATAGGCACCAGCACCCCTCTCAAGCCCACCAAGGGGGTTAGAAAATGGATGGATGGACATATTTGTTGAAACTGTCAACATGTTGAGATAAATCACGACAGATAATCTGTGAAGAAAAATCTACCTTCTCCCAGTGAAAACTAGAAACAACCAATGAAAGTCAGGAAAAGGGTCTTAGTGCTGTCAAGGACAGTCCTTGTGGCACTCCTCATGCCTGCTCCCATTACTGTCTGCTATGATGCAGCTAGCACAGTCTATTCTGAATGCTAAGGCTAGTTTGCATAGCCACCAATACGGTTTTTCTGTAACAGTAAGTTGTTAACTGTGAATACATGAGGGTGATTGACAGCGCTAAGGTCTGCCTCGTTGGTCTGATTGGTTGTTTTGGTTAATTTCTGCAGACAGTAATAGTAGCTCAGGGAGGAGGAGGCAGAAATCGATCTTTTCACAGATTATCTGTCTCATAATCTGCCACAACATGGTGGCAGTTTTAACAAATATGTCACACAATGTTTCTTTAATGAAAGTTGCAAACTGCAGCTTTAAAGCATGATTGGTGTTAAACATCTTGTTGGGAAACTAAAGCAGAATAAAAATTCAAAAGTCTGTAGGACCAGCCATGAAGAAAAGGTGAAACTCTGAAGGAAAACCTTTCAGCTGCTGTGGAGCAAAAGAAGAGCAAAGGTCACAGCATGGAGGAGGCAGAGCTTAGTTAGCAGGAACAGTCAAAGTTTCAATCCTAGTGAAGCTGCGGAAAAAAACAGCACAGAACCAAACAAATAAATGTGTTTTTTTAAACAGCCATGGTTTGATGGGGGTTGGGTTGAAGAGGGGTCAGAGAAATGAAGGTTTAATTCTAGCTTCTCCACCTTATCTCAGTGTCCTTAAGCAAGGCACTGAAACCCAAATTATAAACAGATCAGTGTATGAACATGTAAATAATCAGAAATGTTGTAGGTGAAGGGGCAGAGTTTATCATAGCAGTGGTTCATCCTGGACACCCACAATCTCACACACACACACCCACACACACACACACACGCACACACACACACACGCGCACACACACACACACACACACACATGCACACACACACACGCACGCACGCACGCACGCACGCATACACACACACACACACACACACACACACACACACCGATACAGGTATATGTGGCATAGACTGACATTTTTGCCAAACAGGCCCAGAGGTGGTTTAGATGGACTCAAATACTTAGAGCAAAGGCAGGTGGCTTAAAAAACTGCATCAAATCGGACTTTTTTTGCAGTTTTTTAAGCAAATTTTTTCAACTCTTATTTGAACCTTAGGTTTCAAATAGGAGCTGAACAGCCTTTTTTTTTTACATCAACCTGTGCATTTGTGTGTCGTGGCACACACAAATATATTACCTCAAGAGTAAAGCAATTACAATGGTCTTCAACTGCCACTGAATCCTGACTGTATTTTTTACTACTGCCACTGGGGGAACTGTATGCTTCATTAACAAGTAAGCAACATTTATAATAATAATAATTATAATATGTGAAAGTAGCTAAAAGTTTATGTTTTCAGCCCTAAAGTCTGGGTTGATCAGTTAAAAGAGCAGAAGGAGCAGAAACGTGTTGATTGATCTTACCGGTAGCTCCATGTTGTTCTGTTTTTTTCTCATTTAATCCTCCTGACTGTCTCCAGATCAGCTGCAACGCCAACATGATGAACCTCACTGAATGCAGATTTGACCTGCTAACTCATCCACCAGACCAGCAGCTGGACTAACCAACCAACTAGCCAAACTTCAGCCAAACAGACGCGAGCACCTTGCCTCTTTCCACACTTCCTGGAGTGAAACGTACTGTGAAACCAGGGACAAGAAGAAACAAGTAACCTGAGGGAAAGTGATAGTAAAGCTTCAGGAAGAGAGAATATCGAATGAAGGGAAAAGAGAGGCAGCAGGATTAGACTTGTCTTGTTTTTTCTGGCCGTTATTACCCTGATTCTGGGTGTTCAGGTGGAGAGACCTTAGGGAGGAGAAAGGGAGCGTGAGTCAGGCAGTGAAGGAGAAAAAGAGAGGGATGCTCCTGGCGTTGATTATTAACACACTGACGGTAGCGTCATGAATCATTCATGGGACACAACAGGAACGTGTGCGTTAATGTGCCGCGCAGTCTTATCCAAGCAGAGATAATAAGCAGCGACCTGATCCTGCTCCCTGTCATGACAGAGTGAAAAACAAACAAATAAAATCCAACAGTGAATCAGCCTCACGCCTCCGCTCTGTTTTCCATTTAACAGCCCAAAACTGAAAGTTTGACCCTTTTAACCCCAAACTGATGGCATTATCAGGATAAAAACACTCTCATTATGAAGCCTGACAGTTTGATGCTGTTTTAATTCCTGATCAGAAGCTGCTTTATCCCAGGTTTGTCTCTAGAGAAACAAAAAAGGAAGAACTGTGAATGTCATCAGCACCTCCTTCCACCGCCATCTGCTTCGCTTTAATCTGATTTTAAAGTTGGACAAATTGGTTCAATTTGGTGCAGAAGGGAGGAGACCGAGCCTCAAAAACATAGAAAATGGATCTTCTGGAGATAAATTAAATTGTGCTGAGGAGGAAGAGGATGAACTGAGCTGGATCTCAGCTGTTTGGGTCAGTCGGACTGGCTGCGGTTTTATTGTTGTCAGCTGACAGATGTTCCTCAGTCTTTTACAAACATACAATCACCTGATCTACAGCTGGTCTGGTTCTGTTGGACTACAATTTAATTATGTTGTAGCATTTTTAATATTTTATAAAATAAGCTTAAGTAGTTACTTAAAAATGTGCCAAATTTTTAGTTGATTAATCAATACATAGTTCCCTCAAGTTTGAACTGGAAGTGATTCACAACATCAAGGTAGGCAAGCACAAAGCATAGATCAACCTGGACAGCAGGTTGATCCATATTCAATTAAGAACACAAATAAAAAACAGTGAATATCTGCTCCTGCTGACTGGTTGCAAGTCAGCCTCTTTATATGCTGCACAGTTTCTTCTTCTAGAGGAGAAATAAAACTCAAAGACAGCCTGCAGAGCTTTTCCTTTGATAAGTGAGTATAATATAAGACAAAATTCAATTTAAATATTAGATTGCAGTAATTTCTTTCATTGAGTGAATGGACTCATTTATGTGACCCAGTTCAGAGATAAATCTGTTTCACTGAAATAATAAAATAAAATTAGGTCTAACAAGATGAAAATCAATCAAACAGTAGTTTGCTCAAATTTAAAACTTACCTGAATATACAGTCCTTATATTTTAATCAGAAAAAAACAGATGACATACAGAAAACTAATTCTGCTTTAGAGGAAACTCCAAATGTCTAAAGGTCTAAACTGTGGCTGAATCTTCAACAGGTTAGAAAAACAGCTTGAAGCTCCAACATGAAGACGTGGAACTGTTGAACAGATATTTTTAGTTTGGAGATCTGCTGCCTGCTGTTAGGTTGGCTTCACAGACAAACAGAAACAAATGCACTCTCCATTTGGGACAATGTTGCACCCAACTACATCACTGTGCCACACCTAAAGAGTATCTAAGTCCCAAATCAACTATTTTGTTTTATTTGGGACTTAGATTTATACAACCTTTACCTGTCTAAATTGATCCTTAAGGGTGTTATCATATGTTTCTGTGCAATATGTGACATTTTAATGCAATTTCTTTAAAATTCTGCAATATTTGGTCTAAAACTATGTCAGTGCTGCCCTCTGTGGGTTGAACAATGACTACTGCAGTTGAATGTTTCTTTTGATTCCAACAGACCAGCTTGGTTGATGTCTATGTCCCAGCCCTAAGTTTGGGTGTAAGACCTTCTCGTTTTCTCAGTCAGGAGATGGAATAGCCAAAAATCAAACCAAAAAAAGCCAACAAATTAGTAACTTCAATAATGCACAACAAAGACAAATTGAAAAGAAAACACTTCAATCAATGGAGCAAATTGCTGTCTGGTTTCAGAGTCTTTTCAACAGGGCCAGAGGAGTCAGGCCCATCCTGCCCAAGCAGCAACAGGTTTGGTGGAGAGCAGCCCAGACAACCACCGGCAAGACAAGACAGCACAGCGTCCAAAGCGCTGCAGCTCCAGAGCAATCATGCACCCAGGGGGAGAAACACAGGCAGGGAGCTGATCAGCAGGTGAGGACTAGATGGAAGCTGCAACAGCCTCCAGCTGCAGCCGCTAACGCCAGGAGAGCAACGGATTT